AGTGGAGAACCGGGAGGTGTTTCCATGAGTTCTTCGGAATTTCCCGTTCGATTCAATTTCGGGATATTTATCGGAGAAACTAATAAATTATTTGTCGAGCCGTTTGCCCTCCTGTTTGCACTTCTCCTATGAATTGGAGTGCAATTTATATACACTTTTGTCGAGGAATTGATTCTATGGATGAAAATCATAATTTTTATTAATCAATGAATTGACTTTTAAATAAAAACACAATACAAACCCATAGGGAAATCTTCGTGGAGTGATAGGCGACCCCTCGGCTAATATATCCGGAGTGTGTCTCGGGGTTGAAGAGCCGCCGGGCCTCACATCAACTCGTTTTCGCGGCGGATCCGCTGTGTTATTCAGATTTGGGTATTAATTATATTTTAGTGTTATTTATCATTTGAAAATAAGTGAAATGGGAGAATATATGAATATATGACTGACCAGATTCTGATCGATTCCTAATGATAGACTCGGTCTCGTCCTCAAAACAGGGCCGACGCCTCTTCCGATCCAATAGTAAGAAATATATAACTTTTTCGGTGTTGTGACTGTTGTGCCGATAATACAGGCAAATGACAGGCAATGGTCGCAAAGGGAGGGAATAAATAACAAAAGGAGAATTAGTGGATATTGTGTCAAATATTGAGAGTCTATTAAAAAGTGGGAGAAATGGTCTCACTTTGTGGAGAGGAGGTCTCTTAAAAGCTTTTCCTTGTCTTTAAAACAGCCCAAAGATGTCATATTTGTTAAGACATCGGGATCCACGTCATCCACCGATGGTATTATGTGAGTCTATAGTGTTATACAATTATTATTGATTTAGATTCTCTATTCAAAGTAATAATACGAAAAGTATATACATTATAATATATAAAAATCATATTTTATGTATAAATAGTATGTTTGCATTTTGAATACATGTGTGTAAAACATGACATTCAGACCAATCCTCTTGTGATTAATGATGTGTTGAATGAATGCAATATTATTTATAATCCAATCATTCAAACATTCATTTTTATTCATTAAAACTAAATTAAACACAAAATTATATATAATCTGATGACTCTATAATAGTAGTGGCGGTTTGTCTCAGCGTTTGCCACACATAAGAATATTCTGTATTAAATTAACTAAACTTTTCATGACTTAAATTAGACATATCTGTCGCCAGAATTGTTATCATTCATCATATCTTCTTCAACACAAATAATGGATTATTAGTTTAAAAATTGTTTCTTTTCTTAAGAATAGAAACTAAACCTCTATTTAATTGAATATAAAACACATTTTAAGATCTTTGCAATAATCATCTAATCTGTAGATTAAATAATACACTAATTAAAGCCAGAAATTAATTTTTCGCTCAAATGCTTAGTTCGCTATTTTATGAATAGTTTTGTAATCCAATTAAAGTACAGTATTTGCACACATATGTAGACATGTACTGAATTTGGCAAACAATAGTGTATTATATCAGTTGTATTAACTCATAAGGAATGGTGTAATACCTGAACCACTTCTTTCATCGGCAATTCGAGCTCTAATTCGCTTTTACTTCCGCTAAAAGTCAATACATTTTTATTAAAGAATATCTTACAGAATATTACAGAATATATTCTCTATATTCTATCAAATTTCAATTAATATGAATATAGAGAGAATGATAGAGTAAAGTGTACTCACGTCGTAACCCATGGGTGTCGAGTTACCAGAGCTAACTGTAATCATACAAATTAAAACATCAATAATCAGTTATATTCCGGTATGACATCAATGTACATATATTTGTTATAACTTATATCGCTATATATTAAACAATATGACACACTTTTTAAGCATATTTAAGAAATACATTATGTTTTTGATTGTATAAATTGATTGCCGTTTTTTGTATAAAATTAATTCAAAAAGTAGAGAAAATAAAATCAATTTTTTATTTGTATTACTGATTCTCAACGCAAAAGATTGGCTCAAATTCTTCTCCTAATAACTTCTTTTCATTGAATTAATTCAGAAAATGTTGTCATAAAAAGTGTTATCATTTTGAGTCCAACCTTCAGATGTGTTGACGTTTTTATTAGCTTTTTGTTG